AAGAAAGAAAGAAAATACAAATGCAAAAAAGAAAGAAAGGAATACATGCAGTTAGAATCAGTAACAGGAAATGGTAGTAAGAAAGAAAGAAAGAAAGAAAGAAAGAAAGAAAGAAAGAAAATACAAATGCAAAAAAGAAAGAAAGGAATACATGCAGTTATAATCAGTAACAGGAAATGGTTGAAAGAATGAAAGAAAGAAAGAAAGAAAGAAAGTAAGAAAGAAAAAAGAAAAAAAATAAATGCCAAAAAAGAAAGAAAGGAATACATGCAGTTAGAATCAGTAACAGGAAATGGAAAGAAAGAAAGAAAGAAAGAAAGAAAGAAAGAAAAAATACAAATGCCAAAAAAGAAAGAAAGGAATACATGCAGTTAGAATCAGTAACAGGAAATGGTAGAAAGAAAGAAAGAAAGAAAGAAAGAAAAGAAAGAAAGAAAAAAGAAAGAAAAAAGAAAATAAAAATGAAAAAAAAAGAAAGGAATACATGCAAGAATCAGTAACAGGAAATGGTAGAAAGAAAGAAAGAAAAGAAAGAAAGAAAGAAAGAAAGAAAGAAAATACAAATGCAAAAAAGAAAGAAAGGAATACATGCAGTTAGAATCAGTAACAGGAAATGGTAGAAAGAAAGAAAGAAAGAAAGAAAGAAAGAAAGAAAGAAAGAAAGAAAGAAAGAAAGAAAGAAAGAAAGAAAGAAAGAAAATACAAATGCAAAAAAAGAAAGAAAAATACATGCAGTTAGAATGAGAAAGGAAGAAAATAAAGAAAGAAAGAAAGAAAGAAAAAAAAAGGCAGAAAAAAGAAAGAAAGGAAGAAAAAAGAAATTTTAAAGGAAGGTAAAATAAAGAAAGAAAGAAAGAAGAAAAGAAAAAAGAAAATAAAAAAGAAAAAAGAAAAAAGGAATAAATGCAGTTAGAAAAGTAAAAGAATGAGAAGAAAGAAAAAAAAAGTAAAAAAAAATGAAAATATCAGGAGAAAAAAAGAAAAAAAGAAAAAGAATCAGAAACAAAAGAAAAAAAGAAAAAAAGAAATAGAAAAAATATAAAGAAAGAAAAATAAAGAAAATAAAAAGCAAAGAAATAAAGAGATATGAAGAAATAACAAAGGAAAAGAGAAATGGTAAGAAAGAAAGGAAAAAAGAAAGAGGTAAAGAAAGAAAATAGCAGAAAGAGAAAAAAACGAAATTAAAGAAAAAAGAAAAGGAAGAAAGAAAGAAAATACAAATGAAAAGAAGGAAGGAAAAGGTAGGAAATCAGAAGAAATTTTTAAAGAAAGAAAAAAGAAAAAAAAAGAAAATATATAGACGAATTAAATCGTAAAATGAAAAAAGGCCAATGAGAGAGTAAGAAAAACAACAAAGAAAGAGGTAAAAAATTTCGCATTGAAAAAACGTGTAAAACAAAGCCGAATATTTTAAAAAATATAGGAAAATAAATAAAGTGTAGAAAGAAGAAAAAGAAGAAAAAGAAGAAGAAAAAAAAGGAGAAAATGTAGAAAATCAAAGAATGAGCAGAGTGAAAAAAGAAAGTAAAGAAATGAAATGTCAGGAGAAAAAAAGAAAAAAAGAAAGAATTAACAAAAGAAAAAAAGAAAAATAGCAATAAGAAAAATATAAGAAATATGAGAGAAAAGTGAAGAAATAACGAGATATGAAGAAATAACAAAGGAAAAGAGAAAGGGTAAGAAATATGAGGAAAAAGAAAGAGGTAACGAAAGAAAATAGCAGAAAGAGAAAAAAAAACGAAATTATCAAGTAAAAGAAAAGGATTAAGGAAAGAAAGAAATACATGAAAAAGAAGCAAGAGAAAAGGTAGGAAATATGAAGAAATTTTTTAAGTGTAGAAAAAAAGAAAAAAAATGGAAAATATATAGACGCAATTAAATCGTAATTCAAAAGGCCAATTTCGAGAGTAAGAAAAAACAACAAAGAAAGACAAAAACATTTCGCATTGAAAAAACGTGTATCACATGCCGACTTCATGGGATGATAAAATAGTATATATATATTTGATTTGATATATCGGATTAGAGCTGCGGTCGTACAGGAGATTTCCATGATGGATCTCAGGTACTAATTAGATTAGTGAAATTGTTTGCTCGCTTTAACAAGTCTGATAGAGAGCGTATATACATTCACAGTATACAATTAGGAAAAGGATATAAATAAAATATTTATATTATATACAAGAGGTGATTATTTTATGTATATCCTGCACCGATTTAGAAATTACATTTTAATTAATTTTCATTCCGTTTGTGTTTTCATATATATATATATACCCACAGTCTTAACAAGAATTTATAATTATATGCTGATGTATTATTAATGGCGGATATATATATATATATATATAATATATATTTTCATATATATATATATATATATATATATATATTTATATATATATACAATATATACAAGAATATATATATATATATATATATATATATATATATATATATATATATATATATATATCTTTTATATATATATATATACATA